TGGTGACGTGCTAAGCAAGAAGTCTAACCGTGCTCTCCTCTTGGACTTGGTGGATTCACAATGAGGTTGGGCTCCTCAACCAGGGCTGGGCTTTAATACATAAATTGGACTATTTGGGCTTAACCCATCAATTCCCATCACACATAAGATTTGAAGTTTTCTTATATGCAAAACCTTCAGTGATTAAGCTAAGTAAGTTTTTTTTGGACACTAGGTAAAATTATCATTTCTTCTAAAGACAATGACACAATTGTAGGAAACAATCTAAGAGTAGCCATCTAGTCCAATTAGAACAAACAAACCAAGTTCAAGTAATACTTGTCACTTAACTCGTGTGGGACTCGGGATTATAGTTCGACAAATGCTTACGACCTATTTGGTGGCCCATTAGGCCGGTGGTATATCATGATGTGACGGGAAAACTTGGCCCATAGACCCTTACATTAACGACACGTTTAGTAATATTTTTGTTTTTATATTTTTAAAAAAAATAAAAATAGAATTAATTTTTATTTTTTTTGTGATAAAAAATTAAAACAGAAAATATTTTTAGTTGCAATTTTTGTTTTAAAAAAAACTGAAAATTAAAATAAAAAACAAGTTTGATAACTATTTTAATTTCTATCATATATTTTAGTTTTATATTAAATTTTCTGTTATAAACACATCAAAATTTCTTATATCAATATATCTATCAACCCATGAAATAAAGCACACGAAACAAAATAATAGAAAATGCTTAAACAAATTTGACCCTAACATTGGTCCGTCCATGGGTTGTCGAGCTCTATTTTGTTTCTGTGGGCTGTGGAAGACAATTTGTCTTTGTCTCTGAGTCAATCATATGGGATCAGTTTAAGGATTGCAAAATCTACCGTGGTTCCCACAAATAATTGGTGTTTGAAAAAAATTCAACAATTAGAAGTAGCTCGACAGATAACATGCATGCTAAAGACCCATTACAATCGACATAGTGGGCAGGTTTTATAGTAACTCCATAGAGAGTTTTTATTTTGGGGTGTCAAATTACCGATTTATAATCTTAAATAGTGTTTTAACATCCCTGAATTATAAATTTGTTCCAATGATATGTGTCATTTTAATATTTTAATATTTTTTATAAAAAAATATAATTAAATTTATATATTATATTCAATTTGGCAAATTTTTTTGCAATCTCTCTTTTTTTCTCTCAAGAGTTTGAAAAATTGTCGCCCCAAGAGCATTGGTGTCATTTTTTAATCCTTGATATCACTCTGTTGGAGTAAAAAATATTAAACTTGAGGTGACATTTTGGGTTACTACCCTTCATACCACTCCCCCTTTGTAGTTGCTCTTAGTCCAGCTATATCCATCCCATTTTTATTCACTTTAAATTCTAAAATTGTCCTTGACATGTCAATACAATATCAATTGATTCTTATCATCTCATTTTGACGGGACGTTATGCGGTTAGCCAATAATAATCTATCACATGGCTGAAACAATTGTTGAGGCGCGTGTAAATCAGATCCCAAGTCATACCGATAGAGTAAAACACTTGGGACTGAGCACCATTCTTATTGTTGTCAAATATTAAATACGATAAGACCGGTTGAGGGTCACGATAAAATGACAGACCATTAATGATTGTCCAATCCTCAAACAATGTGAGAGACGATCACCATTGCCTTGCATTAATAGCAGATAGACCGAGGAGGAGCCCTCAGGAGCTCCCAATGAGACCTAACAGCTATTCATTATGAAAAATTCCCATCATTTTATTTCATCTTGGAAAACCATTTACAAAAAAAAATGTAATTCTGTATGTCCACAGAATTTACAAAGCCAACTAATGAAATCAAAATACATCAAAAGAATTCAATCAAACAAGAATTGTCTTCTTCCTCACCACTCTAATCCCTTACTGATCATGTAGAAGCACAAATTTCCCTTGAAGGGGAAGAGCTACAGTATGAGAAGATTCAGTTGAAGCTCTATCCTGCACTGCCTTGTTTGCGAAAAGGTGAACCCAGGCTACTAAATGCGGGGATGGGACTCTAAGTATGAGAGGCATCACTGCTTTTGAGGATTTACCACATGTTGTACAAAACTTTTTTCCACTAGAGCATCGACTGACTTAAATATCGGAAGGGATTAGTTGGATACATACCGGACCCCTTTCCTGACTTTGTTAAGTGTTTTCAAGTTCACCATTCGAGTTTATATAAAAGATCGATATCTCAACCCATTGTAAGAAATCGCCAATGCACATTCTATGATTTTCAACATGGGAAAATTTTATGCCGAGTTTTAAGCATTCATCACTCATTGGTCATTCAAAGGACCCTTGAATGTAAAGCTCTCTTCCAAAAACATGTGTGCTCTAGTCTATATTGGTGAAAGAAAAAAATGAAAATAAGTGAACGTCTGGGTGTATCTACATTTTATATAAAATTGAAAAATTTGGAGGCTAGTCCATTATATGAACTTGTTTGGATTTAAGTCCGTCAAGAAAACTTATTTGTTATGAAATTCGTTTTTTGTCAATTTTACCATACTATCTCTTCCCTTTAGAAGTGGAATAAAACTAAAAATTAAAAACTCCTAAATCTTAGGAGTTTGACTAATATTAAATTTTTTTCTCTCTTATATCTATCTATATCCATATATAGGTTCAAAGTTTAACTAACATTAAAATTTTTTCTCTCTCTTATCTATCTATATATATGTTATATATATGTGTGTGTGTGTATATATATATATATATAGTAGTTATAACCCGTGTCTAAAGGCACGATAAAATATAAAATTTGAGCCTCTAAAAAATTGATCTCACTATATTAAATTTTTTCAAAATGCATTAATTACAAATTAATCAAATATTAAATAATTAAATATATGATAGAAATGAGTGGTGTAATATTTTTAAGGAAGAAATATATAAATAATTAAATATGTGATAGAAAAAAGTGATGCAATTTGACGTTTGAATTTGAAAAAAGGACGATAGGTGAGGTAACTGATTGATGATAGTTTTGAGAAGGAAAATATGACTGGAACAAAATTCAAACACACTCCTGTTTTATTATATAGATTAAATATATGATAGAAATGAGTGGTGTAATATTTTTAAGGAAGAAATATATAAATAATTAAATATGTGATAGAAAAGAGTAACGCGATTTGATGTTTGAGTTTGACAAAAGAACGATGGGTGAGATAAGTGATTGATAATAGTTTTGAGGAGGAAAATATGACTAAGACAAAATTCAAACACACTCCTATTTTATTATATAGATAGTAACATTAAAAATATAAAATAGTAACATTCAAATACAAAAAAAAATTATCATTTGAACAAAAAAAATAATACATTTAAACACAAAAAAATAGTAATATTTAAAAATAAAAAAAATTGAAACATTCAATATTAATATTTTTAAAAAATAACAATAGTAACATGTTCAACAAAAATATTAACATGTTCAACAAAAATAGTAACATGCTTAACAAAAACTGTAACCTACTTAATAATAATTATTTCTCTCAAATTCAAACGCAAAAAATAATATCATTCAAATATAAAAAATAGTAATATTAAAAAAAATAGTAACATTGAATATTAATTTTTAGAAAAATAATAGTAGTAATATGATCAACAAAAATAGTAACATGCTCAAAAATAATAGTACATGAACAGTATCATACTCAACAAAAGCAGTAACATGAACAGTAACATAATAAAAAACATAGTAACATCAATTTTAATTTTACTATTCAAATTCATAGTAACTTTTTTTTTGTATTTAAATGTTACTATCTTTTTTTAAGTTACTATATACATATATCTTGATATAGATAGATAAGAGAGAAAATTTTTTTAATGTTAGTCAAACTTTTAACCTTTATATGGATATAGATAGATATGAGAGAAGAAAGATTAATTTTCTTTTAATGAAGGGTATTTTTGAGATAAAAAAAAAGTAAACTTAAGTCAATACATATAATTTTAAACATGGACTTAACCCCTTATAAATTTTTTTGCAAAACTTATCTTCAAACAAGTACATTTAGGAAGACTCACTTCTATAAAATTTAGTGGATATTATAATCTAGCTATAGACTTGATGACTTGAAAGAATAGTTGTATGGATTTAGCAGCTGATCATTAACAAACAGAAGCTGATGTACACTCAGTCATGTATCCTATGGAACAAAATTGGGTAGGTCTTAACAATTAATTTTGGGCGTTTTTATTTGGTAATCATTAGATCATGATCCAATAGTTTATATAAAAAACACACACTAGAAATTACGGAACAGAGTTTTTTAAGTTCATCTGCTAATGGAATCTGAATTAGTTGATTTGTCTCTTAAGTAATAAGAATCTATATGTAGAATAGAGAGAGGTTACGTGAGAAATAAAATATGAGTTGAAGAAGGAAAAGCGACTTCTGACTTGTAATTAGTTGCAAGGCCACACCAAATACCTCACTTCCCCTCCACCAGCTCAAGTCCAACCACCCCTTCTATCCTCCCACAAGCACCTCATCAAATTGGACATCTACTTGCATCAATATGATCAAAGTATTATTTTTCGGGTAACAAGGCCAATCACAGTCTCTTTTTAAATTTGATTAAGCAATGTAAAACTCAAATTCACATAATTACTTGTATAAAATTCGAATTTTATGGGATCAGTGAAATTCAAACTGTGACTGTATGTCCCATCTCTTGTTCAACAATTGAATCAATTCATACATATTAACGGCAGTGTGTTAAGTGACAGGAGAGAGAATATTTGAATGGTCAATCACACTTTGTGTGGCTCAGGTGTCAATATGGTTAGGTTCTCATAATCGTGTTGGTGTCATTGTAATGTCACATTCACATTTGCCAATAGCCTATTGCTTCAATCTTCTCTTTGCTTAGGGACTTGGGGGCCTTGGGACTTTGCGTCTCTTTAAATCACACCCTCTTTCTCAACCATCCCAAGGACTTCAAAACCATAGAGGAACTCTCTCTCTCTCTCTCTCTCTCTCACACACAAACACAGACAAAGATGAAGAACAATGTCAACAACGGCACAAAGCTTATCCTTCTCCATCCCTACATCCAAAAGCAAGGAAGCTCCAATCGTCTATGGCTTCTAGCTTTCATTTCATTTTTCACTCTAGCCTTCCTTCTCACCCTCATCTACACTAGAGAATCCATCACCACAACCACCCACACAGCTGCGTTGGCCGCTACCGGCTCCTGGAATCCTCCCTTATCAAAAACTGTGGTCAAGGCCCTTGTCCACTACGCTTCAAACTCCAACCACACCCACCGCATGTCATACACCGATATCAAACAAATCTCTGACGTCCTCCGGCAATGCTCATCTCCCTGTAACTTCCTCGTTTTCGGCCTTACCCACGAAACCCTTCTCTGGAAAGCCCTCAACCAGCATGGCCGTACTGTTTTCATTGACGAAAACCGGTATTACGCTGCATACATGGAGGAAAAATACCCAGAGATTGAAGCTTATGATGTGCAGTACACGACCAAATTGAGAGAAATGAAGGAACTTATAGCATCAGCAAGAGCACAGGTACACAATGAGTGCAGGCCAGTACAAAACCTATTGTTTTCTGAATGCAAGCTTGGACTTAACGACCTACCTAACCAATTCTACGATGTGGATTGGGATGTTATATTGGTCGACGGACCACGAGGGTACGCACCAGACCAACCCGGTCGTATGTCGGCCATCTTCACCGCCGGCGTGCTTGCAAGGAGCAAAAATGGTGGCAACCCAAAAACACACGTTTTTGTGCATGATTTCAATGCAGAGGCGGAGAGAGCTTCCAGTGATGAGTTCTTGTGCAAAGAGAATTTGGTGAAGTCTAAAGATTTGCTTGGGCATTTTGTCCTGGAAAAAATGGATGCTAATAGCTTCCAGTTCTGTCGCAGCCATTCATCATCATAGGATGATGACTTCTTCGTCCTAATCGTAGTTACCATCACCAAATTATACTCCTTTTTGGGTCAATGTTATAAAGAAGTAAATTTGGTTATTTATGATATATTAAATGTTTTCAGGTTTTTCTTATGATGAGTGAGGGCATGTAAAAATAATTCTTTTGGGAATGGTAAACTTTATTTTCCCTGGATGAAATGGAATTGTTTGTCATTTTGAGGATTTTATATATTTAATTATTTATATATATAATTGGCTAGAGTCTTAACAATTCATTCTTTGGACTCATAACTACAGCATGAACTTGCATATTTGATCAAGTAAGATATGTTTTGCACGACTAGGAACTTAGAAACTCAATATTAAACACTAAAACTTTGTCATTCAAGATCTAATGATAACCCTTAAAGGTAGTCCATGGTCAATAATCCTACCTAAGTTTGATACTTCCCACACCTCTAACAGTCAGCCACCATTGTTCCTAAGGGGACATGTCCTTAAACTAACTTGAGTTACAATGACCGGCTCGGACTTCGAAGAAATAATCGGCACAAGCTTGGACACCTGTAGCCAAAAAAACAAAAAATCTACAATGATAGGTTTTTTTTCACCCAGACGCACAAATATTCAAGTTGTGGATCATAATATTAGGACATGTCCGAGGCATGCAAGAAAAAGACTCTTTTGCAATGTCATAAAAAACAGACAGATACTCAAGTCACATGTACTGTTAAAAGCATCCCAAGACTTGGCAAGATAAAACATGAACTTCCCTACTCTGCACTGAATCCCTAAAGTTTCATAACAATATAGATCATCTAGCTTGATTTAATGGAAAATTGAATGAAAGCGATCACTTAGCAACCAAAATACAGAACTAAACACAATTGGAATACGCTTCATTATTTCAGATATATAGAATTACAACAAAATATGACTTACCTGCTCATAGCAAACAATGGGTTGGTTCAGGAAATGTTGGAGTTAACAATCTGAACATAGGCTACAAGGGTGAGAAGAGCACCAAAAATCTTATCAAATGAAAAGTGCTAAGAAATATGGGTTACCTGCTGTTTACCCCATACATGATACACCTCTACTGTCTCTGTTAAATTAGTTAGGTATCAAGAGCTGACAATAAAATGTTTCTTGTACCAAAAGAATGACAAGCCAAAAATCATGGATTCACTTGAACATGCTTTTGGGATCACGGGCTCCAAGTTGCCACAGATCCCCACTGCAGGCTCTTGCAGCTGTTCCTCACACACAGTGTACTACAAAATTCATGTAACAATTCCATTTGCAGACATTCTCCCTACCTGAGTGCTCTCCACATAAAGAGGAATCCTCAAACCAAGCTCCCTTAGTCGCCCAACCATATCATAGAGAAATTCAAAGCTTAGTTTGGATTGTGCATTAAGATCCTCCCTTACTTGTGGATGGATCCTGAACCAGTCTCCTAACATCTTGTGCACATGAGCACGGATCATTCTCCAGGGGACAGGATATTTCTCACAAAGCCTCAAATACTCTACCAATAAGTCAGCCTGGTCTAGTTTTCCATCTTCCATGTATTCACCACTGCCCAAACCCCATTCAGCAGTCCGAAATCCAGCAAAGAGAGCTGGATTCTCAAGAAGAGACTCTGCTGAAAGTACCCCATCAACACCAGTCTCCTCCAAACAGTTCTGGACATCATCCATGTGTCGTATATTTCCATTGGCAAGGACTGGGATTCTGACAGCATTTTTAACAGCCTTGATGGTATTCCAGCTGGCCCGGAATTTCTTTCCATCTTTTTCATCTCTTGTTCGGCCATGCACTGCCAAAAGAGAGCAACCAGCATCCTCCAACATTCTGGCATAATTAATTGTATCTTGCAAGTCTGGGAACACTCGGATTTTGCATGACACAGGAACATTAAGATTCAGAGCCAATTTTTCTACCAAATTCCTAACAAGTGGAAGTTTATCCATAAGGAAAGCTCCATAGTTCCCCCTTCTGGCAATACGCTGAGGACACCTGCACAAAGCACATGAAAAAACAAAAAGAGCTATTGAATTTCTTACTCAGAAGCACATGAAGAGATGTTATGTTCATGAAACTACAATAATACAATGACATTCAGATGCACCATACAAGTTAGAATGGAAACAAAAATCTAAGAGTGCTACAAAACTTACAGCTTTGTACAGGGCAAGTGTCAACTAAACAATGCTAGCAAAGTGTGGACAAAAAGCAGTGTAGCACATGATAATACATTGCAAACAAGCCGAGCATTCCTAAAGTCTCAATTCATGTAAACCACACATATTAGTATTCAAAAAATGAAGTAACTATTGGAAATACTATACCTCATATAAACAAAAAAAAATGATGATATTATCTAACAGTGGACATTTTTTATTACATGATTATCAGTGGTAAAAAAAAATCATCAATGGTCTTTATCTGGATATACACATATATACCCACCTACTTGGACAGATAACAGTATTGAATATATTAAGGGAGGCATCCATATATTGGTTGATATATAAAATCCATGGATTTCAGTATTTATATTCCAAAGTTCAAGTTTAAGAAATTATTTTTCCTAAATTTCCATAAAACAGAGACTCATTTTGCAATAAGTAAGGTTCGTTCCCAAGTCTTTAATCATTCTTGAGCTTTCCGCAGCACAAGGTTTGTCACAGTTTATTATAGTCTGTTCAAGAACAATCAAATACATACAATCCAATTTGAAAGCTAGGACTGTTTTCTGCTGATTGATTTTATGTTATTTCTTTTTAATTGCACAATATTTCATGGAAAAAGGTGAAGCCATGGTATAAGACAAGTTTAATGAGATTTAGTGATGGCTCAAAAGTAATTTTCATGCCATCACCCCATAACAGGCCAACACGTTTGTCTGTATACCAATCAAATTTATATTACAATATTTTAGCTCATCTACTATATTTGGTGACAAGTTATTAATTAATATGATTCATTGCATAAACTTGGCTGCTAGGAACAAGGAGAGCACATTACGGAAAAAACAAATGGTGGTGAAAGGTTTTAGACGGTAACCTAAAAAGAGGTAAAGATACAAGATAAAAGAAACAAGCACATCAGTCATCATCCCTGACCACACTATAGTTTGCTGTTAACCATAGAAAATAAAGATAATATAGCATACTGTACTAGGAAGGTCTGGCAAAAATCAAGTGTGAACTGTGAAATTTGTGCCCAACAATACACAGACACCAGCCCTTTCGGATATTTTCAATTGGGACAAACCTTCAAGTGGTAAACATGTGACTTACATAATATACACAGAGCTGCCATGAAATGAGAACAATATCTTGCAAAAGCTTAAATTGAAACACTGCTCATCAAATGATAGAGATTGTTACCCCAAATTAATGTCCACATAATCACAATAAGGTTCTACTCTCCGAGCTGCTTCCAATAAAGTATCTGGATCATTTGCACAGAATTGGACAAAAAGTGGGCGATCCTCCTGCCAAATTGTACATTAATCCCACTGAGTAGCAATTCATGCTTCTAATTCCTACTTCTAGAATTCTCTCATTACAATTCCAAGTCTAAACTAAGCAAATGATGCAGTAATGAAAATAAAATCACACACACACACACACCCCAGCAGAGCAAGAAGAAGCAAATACCTTGCAGGTGGTGAATTCTAGAGACCGATACTTCTCATTCTCGGTGAAAATACGAGAGTGAAGCATGGGCGTATAAGCAGCTTCGGCACCGTACTTGCGACATAGCAATCGGAAAGGAAGCTCCGAGTTGTCGACCATTGGAGCAACAATCAGCTTGGGCTGGCCAAGCTTCTTCCAGTGAGCCCAGGCTCCCTCGATCCGTGAATCTTCGCTTAAGTACCCACTCGGACTGTGCAAAATAGACAACCGTTGTTGTTCATAATCATCTGGTTGCTCTGATAATTGGGTGCTTTCGGAGCAGAGAAGGTCATCCTCGCCGTCAAGGTTTTGCGAGGGGGGAGAAGAAAGATTTAGGGTTTGAGCAACGGAAGAGGTGGCCATGAATGCGTTGAGAGGTGAGACGGAAGGCTTCGGGTTGGTTGCTTGAAGAGAGAGAAAGATGAGGAGGAGGACGAGTAGAATTTTGGATCTCATGAGGAGGCGATGGGGA